GATTCATTGAACTTTTCAATGGCATGTTTCAATCTGGATTGTGCCCTTCAAGTTTTGTGACTGGGATGCCGAGGATCACAAAACAAGGTGTGAATAACCATGCTAATTCACTTGGTACCCTTAATATTATCACCTAATCAATGTGTCGGTAAACCACACACACACTCCATTGATCTATGAAAAACATTAAGTCACCCTTCGTGATCTTTACTAGTCCAAGTTAGTGTGCCGGTTAACCACACACGCTCCACCAACGACTTGGTAAGGTACAAAGTGTGAATTCCATGGACTAGCACCATGTTCACATTTTTCCTAAAGTAACTAAGATTGGGAATTAAAAAAGAGTTTAGTTACTTTATAATAATCATTATACTTTTAATGAGGATTTAAAGTCATTGTCCTACCCGTTCGGCTAACGACCCTCCACCGATCAAGGAAGCGGTGGGTGAGAGTGGACACCCATTAAGCTGCCATTTTATAGGCAACAACCTTATACCCCCCTTATAGACCGGCTTCGTGAATGAGGCCTATTAACGGTAGAACGACTTATTCTTATACATATATATAATAATTAACCATTAATGTTATAAATAGTATAAGGGTTGAATTTTAACTATTAAAACTCTAAGGGTTGGAATTAAAGTTTATTAAAGTGTATGAAACTTTACAAATTCCAAAACTTGAGGGCAAGTTTTGTAACTATCCAAAACTTTTCATTTCATAACTTATGAATTAAAGGTTCATAAAATGAGGACTCTTCATTTTCATGTAACTTATGTGTTTTAAATGTGTGTTTAAAAAAAAGTGACCTTTGGATATCCATAACTTGAGGAAAAATTATGGACTCCATTAAACACATAAATGATCAAGAATTAATTCTAAAAAATTCAGCAAATAATTCCTATCATCTTCTAAATTCATAAGAACATGAACATGATTATCAAAGTTTCAAGAATTATATGAACACATACAAAGCATGAAATTTTGATATATGCCATTGTAAATGGATTAGAACAACCATTACACCAACTAAAACAAGTTTTAAAACACCAAAACAGTTTAGGGTAATGTTTCTACTCCATTTCCAGCAACAAAAGTCGAAATTCTGCATTCTGGTCCTTCTACTCGCCGAGTGCACGAACCTACTCTGCGAGTAGGATGAATTTTGCCTTGAACTCGGCGAGTCCCCCCATGGACTCGGCGAGTCCATCAGCCAGACATCAACAATTTCAACCTTTTTCACTATTTTGCATCAAGTATCAAACAAGCAAGCCTAGGCTCTGATACCACTGTAGGGTTTTGAGCAATCTAACACTTCCTAAGTGTGCATGCAACCCTAATAAACCTTGGATCTATGTTTGTCTAAATACATGCGAAATAATAATTTTCCATGGTTCATAACCTATCTAACATGGCATGGGGTACTTTTAAACATAAAAGAATTAGATAAGATTACATACCTTTTGATGAGTTTGATTCCTTGGAGTTTGAGAGCCAAGCACCAATAGTGTGAATGCCTCAAATGGAAATCACAAATCACCACAAACACTAGGAAAACTTTGAGAGAGTGTATACACACTAGATCTATACAGTAGCGAACAACTAAAGTGTGGGGTTGTCAACCCCGTATAGATCTATACACAAACTCTCGCTCTCCCTCCAGGAGACTCTAGTTATAACTACAAAATTTAAGGTTGTACACTAGATAGGTACGGGTGAAAACGCGTCTCATAGGAGCGTTAACTAAATTTACGTGAACAGTGTATCACATTATTTACCGCTTTAAAATAATGTTTCAAGTATGTGTTTGATTACAAAACATTGGTGATAGAAATACCATTTGTTTTTATCAAAATGTCAAATATTCATGATTACCAGTTCGATGGTCATAGAATGTGTCGGGTGGCCCAATAAGAAATTCAATTGGCCTATAAGGCCCAATATGTATAAAATGAGTATAACAGACCCAATAAGCATGTAATGAGCATATAAAGCCCAATAGATGTGTACATGAGTATACCAGGCCCACTATGCATGTAAATGGGTATTGGAGGCCCAGTAAACATGTAAGTGGGTATTTTCAGCTCATTTTGATAAAATGACATTTATGGCCCATTTTTGCTAGAAATGACATTCTCGTCCCATTCTTGATAGAAATGACAAATTTAGTCCATAAAGGCTAAAAATTACATTTTAGGCCCATAAAATTGTGAATTTCCAAATAAGGTCCATTTTTTTTATGGAAAATGACATCTATGGCCCATTTAGCCGAGAATTTACACTTTTGGCCCATTTTAACCGTATTTTTCATTTAAAGTCCTCTTTTATGAAAAATGACACTTTTGGGCCCATAAAACTGTATATGTACAAATAAGGCCCACAAACCGTATATTTTCAAATAAGGCCCATAAAACCGTAAGTTGACAAATGAAGCCTAATAAAACCGTAAGTTGACAATTAAGGCCCAGTAAAACCGAAAATCATCAACTTAAGCCCATTAAACCGAAAATGACTCCAAAAGCCCATTTTGTTTATCTTTAGTGTAAAAAATGCCCCTTTATGTACATTCTTTGGATTTCTAGTAACCTTTACATGTTTAATCTTTTCAACATAATACAAAGTTACTTCTAAGAGTTTGCATACAAATATCACCAATATTTGGAAGATATTTCGAATTTTGTGAGTGTTTATCAAGCTTTCATGGCATATTCATACCATATAACATGACAATACACACGTACATGCATAAATACTTAAATTTAACACAAAACGAACTTGTATTCTCCCCCTAAACATAATAAAAACCGAAAACAAGGGAGTATAAATCTCACCTTGGGTGATGGATCGATTTTTGATGAAGAAATGAATGAGAATGAAGGTGTTTTCGGCCTTGGAGTGTTCCTTTGGGAAGAATTTCGAACTTAGGAAGTTCTAGGAAGCTTAAAAATGAAATGAAGGTAGTCATGAGAGTAAATCCTTAACACAAAATGGAATAATTCAACTTGAGTTTATATGATCTTACCACAAGTGTGAAGCTTAAAGTGATCTTCTTGAACACACACAACTCACAAATTTTGAAGAGGTAAAAGTGAGAGAGTTCTTAAGAGTTTAGAGAGAATTTAGAAATGAAATAAAGCTTGAGATGGAGGGTGGATGGGCCAAGAATAAGAAGAGGAGGGAGGAGGTGGCATGGTGGTCATAAGTTGGTGCATGGAGGAATGTTAGATAATGACATTGTTATTTGGTGGTATTAGTGAGGTGTCACCTTACTAATCACCATATTATTTTTTTATTAAACCTAAAAACTGGAGAGGGGAGGAAAAGAAAAGGGTATTGGGCTTGAATACGAATCGAGAATATATTAGCCTAATAAAGATTTTCGGCCCATTAGGCCCACATAGGTGTTTACGGTCCAAAATGATAAAAGGAATGGGTTTTCGATCCATATAATTAAAGAAGATGGTTTTCGGCCTAATAAGGCCCATGACGAGTCTTATGGCCCAAAATGCTATTGATTATTGAATGTGGGTCCAACTAGGGACCAAATGAGGTTTCTTAGCCCAAAAGAATCAAGTTGAGGGTTTATTGGTCCATTAGGCCCAATAAGAGGATCCTGGTCGAATAAGAGTTTGAACCGGGAAGTTAGGGTTACAACCCAAAGTCGAGTGAATGTAGTCCATTGAATTAGGTTTGGAGCTTCACGAGCGAGTTTTGATTTGAATAATTGTTTTTGAATGAATAACATGTATAACATCGTACTTAGGGTTACAAGATAGATCAAAAGTTAGTTACACATGAGCATAATACCTAGCCGTAAAATGCTAGTTGTGACAGTTTATTTAAATAAATTATAAAATCAAGGGGAATATTGACTTTTTATGTAAGACAGGGACCAAGCAAGTAACAAAAACAAACAGTAGGGACCTTTCGAGTTAGAAAAATAAGTTAGGGACCAAACATCCAAGTTACCCTAAACCATAGGGACCATTCGTGTAATTTACCCTTATAATAATAACACTTCTGTGAGTAAATTGGTATCAAAACCGGGTGACAAGAAAATTTAATTTTATTAAATACAGTTAATAAAGTATAATGGTTCTACTACAACAGAAAAATTATACTTTTTGTAAAAACGGTTAACAAACTATATCAATTGATTCTTCTTTTTTCGCTCAAATGACTAATCTTCAATTTGCAATAAGTGTAGAAGCATGATAGTTATGTGTGTATGGCTGGTTCATATCATATAATTTAATTGATGTTTAAATTTATTGCCGCTTTGAAGTGTTGTCCATTTTTCCCTCGGTGCCTTATTCTTCAGTTTTTGGGTTATTAGTGGTAATTATTATTTCTATGATTGCATGTAGCAACTGACTTTGAAGAAATTGAAGAATCCTTTAAAAGTCAGCATGATCAATAGTAATATTTTCCTGGAATAATATATTATAAGAACAAACATGATTTTTAAAGGTTTATATAACATAATTATCTATGATACAAGCCTTAACATGTTCCTTTACAAAATGCCTTTTAAGCCTTAAATTGTTTTTCCTACTAGGAAATAGTTCGTCCACACGAGTGTCATTGTATATGGACATTCATGTTTATACCACAAAACATAAAACGGTTCATGATAATGGACATTTTATTTTACCGTTATTGCCTTAAAGGCTTAAAGCACCCGGATTTCCATTTGTATTCAAAAAGCAAGTGAAAGTGATCGCACTTTCAAGAAAGGGAACAAAATTTATTTTGTCGCTGAACTTTTTTAATGGCTTTACGAGGGAACAAATTTTATTTTGTCGGGTCAATTAAGTCATTATGTCAATTGTGAAGGGGTCAACCGGTCATATTCCTGCCACATGTGTTACTTAATCCCCTGCCTTGCTGACTGTGTATGCTATGTCATTTACTAATAGTTTAACTTAAATGAGATCTTTTCCCATCTATTGTTCACCATTCACCACTTCCAGCTCGTTTGATAAACCTTTACTTTCGTTATGTCTCCTCAAACCTCAAACATGGATCCCGTATTCGTCCAAGTCGATGTGCATTTCCATAGAATCTTTGCAAAATACCCCATACGCTACACCGGGGGGATATCTCAGAGGTTATCAAACATCGATTTCGTAGGCATGGACAAGATCGGGTGTTATGAATTTATCGAAAGGTTCACCAGAGAAAAGTGTACGAAGCTCTATTACTACCAACCAAATATTCATTTTCCAAAAGGTCTGACCTTAATTTTGAATGAGTTTGATTATGTTGATTTTATAGCAATAGCGTATGAATGTGGTGCTATACTGCCCATGTATGTAGACCATTTTGGTAATACTAGCATGCATGAATGGTTGGAAGAACACAAAGAAGAGGTAGTTGATAGCATAGTGGAAGAAGTTCTTGATGGTTTAGGAATAGTTAAAGAAATTAAGACAAGTCATTTAGATGACGAGGATGAAAATGAAATGAAGATAAGATGAGGACGACCTTGGGGCTGAGGATGTGGATGCTGATGAAGATGAGGATAACCATAACAGACCTTATTTTATCAAAAAGGATAATGGCCTTGATGTCGAAATGGGTGACAACGCAACTTTGGGGGGCCCTTTGGAAGAAGCCATGGATGAGGATGAAGATGTTTTACCTCAGTTGCCAAACATTTTCAATGAAAAGCTTCACTGGAAGGAGCAGGGACCTCTGCAACTATGCTATTGCAAATGGTTATCAATTATGTTTCGTGAAAAATGATAGTAGACGGTTGCTAGCCAAATGTTGTGATGGAAAATGTACATTTAGGGTTTGATGCTCATGGATGAGTGATTATAAGTCTTTCCACATTAAGTCTCTTATTAGTGAGCACAATTATTCAAAGAATTTCAAATTCGGATTAATTGTAACTTATAGATGGATACGTACCCACTTTACCTAACAATTTTTCAACAATCAGAAGTTGAGTGTCAGATTACTAAAAGTGGATGTGAAAACCAGTTGTGGCATTGTTGTAAGTATGAGTCAGTGTAGGAGAGCCAAGAAGTATGCATTGAGTCTAGTTGAAGGCACAATTGCAGAAAATTATGCTAGAATATGGTCTTACGGTGAGGAGATTAAAAGATTAAATCCTGGTTCCAATGTTAAAAATTTATGGATACAATGCCTGATGGTAAGAATTACTTCAACAAGATTTACATATGTTTTGAAGCAGTCAAAGAAGGGTGGTGTGGAGGGTGTAGATGGATCATTAACTTAGATGGTTGTTTCTTGAAAAGGTTTTGCCAAGGTGAGTTGCTGTGTGCTGTTGGTAGGGATGCTAACAATTGAATATTCCCAATTGCTTGGGTAGTTGTATGTGTGGAAAACAAGGAGAATTGGAAATGGTTCATTGAAAATCTTGCAGAAGATTTTCAATGTTGGAATGATGGAAGTGGTTTGGTCTTAATTTCTGATCAATAAAAGGTATGGTTGTAAAGTATTTAACATATTTTAATAAATAATATAATAAATATTTATATTTCTAACTTCACCTATTATTGATACATATGCAAGGTTTGGTTGAGGCAGTCATAGAAGTATTCCTAGCAGCAGAACATAGGCAGCATGCTAGGCACACACACACACACACACACATATATATATATATATATATATATATATATATATAAATTTTAGAAAGAGGTTTAGTGGAGTCAAGTTTGAAAATTTGTTTTGGAGAGCAAGCAAGGCAAAAACTAAAGCACATTTTAACACAACCATGAAAGATATTGAAAAGTTGAATCCTGAAGCGGTTAAGAATCTAATGGATAGAGATCCAAAGACTTGGTCTCTATTTTTTTAGAGTTCACCATTCATGTGAATCTGTGGAGAATGGATTTTGAGAGAGCTTTAATAGTGCCATTTTGGATGCTAGGAAGAAACCTATTATCAACATATTGGAGGACATTCGTATATATGTGATGTAAAGGATGGTCACTGTAAAACTCACAGGTCAAGGATGGAATCATTATTCTGTTTGTCCAAACATCAGAACAAGATTGAATATTCTCCAAAATGAGCAAAGGTATGCACACTTTTATTTCATACATAACTTACCTCTGTCAACTCAAAAATTTGCATTGCTTTATGTAGGCATTGGCAGGTTGTGTCTTGTGGGAGTATGAAGTTTGAAACAAGGAATATGGATGAGTCATACGTTATCGATGTTATAAAAAAGGAATGCAGTTGTAGGTTATGGAAACTAAATGGGTATGGTTGTATTCATTCAGTAGCTACATTATTGTTTTTAAATGTAACACCTGATGGGCCATATGTAGGCCCTTTGTACCTGGCAGCCTTCTTCCGTAATACTTACAAAAAGTCTATTAGTGGCATGAGTGGGATGATCATGTGGCTTTCAACAACCTTTACACATAATTGCCTCCTTTAAAAAGAAGAATGCCAGGCAGGCCTAAAGTCAAAAGAGTAAGGGATGCTTCTGTCTGGAAAACAAACTGTTTCAAAGGCAAGAAAAAATGTTTCTTGTGGCATATGCAAACAGAAAGGGCACAACAAGACCACTTGCACTCAAGTGCTAACTCCACCTAAAACTAAAGTCACTAAAGACAAAAGACATGCAAACACAAGAATTAGTTAATATGCAAGCGGGTGGAGAACATGTTGTTATGGGTGATGCAGTTGAGCCACAAACTGATGAAGTTATGAGAGTAAATGAATCTAAGCAACTGGTGAGGGTTAATAAAGATGAGGAACTAGTCAAGGTTAATCAAGTTATTAGGCAAGTGAATACTACAGGTCATCCAAGCAAGATGAGAAAGTCAGAGAGAATTCTTAAACTAAAGCTTGCTAAAAGAGTTGAAGGTGAAGGTGGTAGTGTTGGATCGCTAACGGAGTTAGATTAATTACATTTGTAATTGTGTGTCTGTTATGTGGATTGAACAAGGGAATTTATGTTTGCTACGTTGATGTATGTTATAAAAATCTTAATGTTTGATATTTGGATGTGTGTTTGTATAGTATTTCATGTTATTATTAAAGTGGAGGTATTTTGGTCATATGAATGAGTTAATACAATACATGTATGGTATTTGCATGTTATTATTAAAGTAGGGATATTTTGGTAATATGAAACAGTTAATACAATATGTGTATGGTATTTGAATGTTATTATTAAAGTAGGGGTATTTTGGTCATTTGAATTAGTTAATACAATATGCGTATGGTATTTGCATGCTATTATTAAAGTAGGGGTATTTTAGTCATTTATATCAGTTAATACAATAGGTGTATGGTATTTCATGTTATTACTAATGTAGGGGTATTTTAGTCATTTATATCAGTTAATACAATAGGTGTATGGTATTACATGTACTTATTAAAGTAGGGGTATTTTAGTCAATCAAAGAAGTTAAATTACATACAATCCCTCGGTGTATTAGTCTCATTTTAATTGGTAAAAGAGGGCATGTGAATGTTAGTTTAGGGGTATTTCTATCATTTTAATTAGTTAAAGAACTAGGGGTACTTCTGTTATTATTTTTTATTTTAATAAACCGATTAGGGGATTAGAGGCAATTTATATTATGTGACTTAACCCACTAGGGGTATTTCAGTCAATATTTATTATGTCACTAAACCCACTAGGGGTATTTTAGTTATAAATTTATTATTTGACTTAACCAAGTAGGGGTATTTCATTTCTTACAGGCAATTATTCAAAGTGGGTAATCACAAATACAACAAAAAACCACTTTTCATTGTTTTCCATTTCTAGGTATACGCAACGACAAATCTGGGTATTAGATTCTTCATTTTTGTCCCATGTCCCCACAAACACACATTGGGGTTCATGTTTTAATGGTATTAAACATTTGATTGTTGGTCCCAAGAACAAAATCAACATAAAAAATGCCTACTACTTCACGACACATGCAAATTTACATCTATAAGAGTAATCCATTTATAATAGGAACAAGTAAACTTAATCAACATTTCATTGATGGGTTTCTGCATCTTTACATATATAGAAAAAGTTATAACATGATTTCCACAACTACCTAAGTACATACGAGAAGCATCACCTGTGACTTCCATCAAAATATTGACCATCACAACAAAACCACCAAAAACTACAACCAGAAACCAAAAGACAACTAGCAAAACCTAATAAGGAGAATAAATAAGATGTACATCAAACAAAATAGAAACCTAAGATTGAAATGTTTAACCTACAGTTCTTCTATCATTTATAAAACCTGTAGGTTAAAACCCCCACAATAGCAACTACAAAAACCCTAAAGACCCATTTGACTTTCTTTGACTTCTTTTTTCCCAGAACAATGTTGACATATGACGCTTGCATTGAACAAAAATGATTCTTCAAATCAGCAACCATGTTAGATAGATCGAGTTGACCAGCCCTAACATCATCGACTTCATGATTTAGGGTGTCCATCTCTCTAGTGAGGTCGCGTTGTAGTTCACGAAGGTCGTTTGCAATCTCTTCCTTCACATGTGACACCTCCAACTATGTCTGCAACAAATTTATCGCCATGTCTTCATTTGTGACTCCATTCGATATATTTTCTGCCATGTGTCGATTGTAGTTGGGTGACCAACTGTGATCTTGAGATGATCGTGAAGGCATCGTTTCTGCGTTTGCCGTTTGGTATCGAATTTTAGGGTGCATTCGGGGTAACCAGGTTATGATTTGTGCCATTTTAGGGCACAAGCTTCACATTTTATACGGAGGTGGGTGAACAGTGTGGACTTCGTCTGTATGCTTCACATTCCAAAACGACGTCGTTTGGGTCCAATACTTTAAATAAAATGTTGCCATGTCATCGATGATGTGTCAAATTGGGACCATGTGGCATGGTTACCGGGTATAATAGGTTAAAGGGACTAAATTGCTAGGTTGCAACACAATTCGTTCCATCATAAAGCCACTAAAAAGGTTTAGTGACTAAAAGTGTAAACCCTAGAAACTTCGTAGGTCGTATGTGTCATTTTCCCTTCAATAAAGTATAAAATCCAATGAGTAACCAACACTATACAAGGAAAGTAATAAGATTTACTATAAATGGTGGCATTACCACATTTCTCTGCCCTAACAGGGAAAACCGGCTTCCATAATTCTCATGCAAAAACAATAAGTAAAAACACATCAAACCATTAAAGCAGAAGATAAAATGATAAAATCAGTGTAAAAAGCACAGGTCATCATTTTCACAGGCCATAATGAAACCCGGAAGCCTCATGGGCTTCTTTTTCGCTTGATTGTTGACGCATCTATGGAGGAATTCATCGAGCATTCTACCGGCTAAAGAAATACTTGACATTTTTTGTCCTTGATACTATGGATTCCTGATATGGTAAAATCTAAATATATGGCACATGGCATATTTATATAGATGTTTAGTTAATAGTTATCCCAATTGTACGTATGCAATGCATCTATAAAAGTTTACAAACATAATCCAATTCAAATGCGATTTGACTATCTTACACAAAATAAAAGTTTGCTACTTTTATGTTTATTTGATCAATTGGTCCTAAATTTCCATAAAATGTGTTGTTTTATCTAGCTTTGCAAGTAAAAGAAAGTACATAAATGACTGATTATAAGATAACTAGAGATATTGTCAGTTATTAATTATTATATAATTACCTTTTTATGTTTATGATTGTCATAGATGTATTCTGGTTTTCAACAAACTAATTGGAGTTGATTTGTGGAAAAAAATCCAAAAGAAGGAACTAAAGTCATGTAAAAGGAAATGGTACCTTTGATGCACAAATCATATAAATCCAAGAATGGTACTTGATTTTTTGAAATAGATGAAAAAAAGAGAGAGGAAACTTAAAATCTTTAATGTAAGATTTGGATTTTAATGAATAAAACCATACCATAGTAGGTATATCACTACCATTTACTTGATCATGCTCGTTTCTTATGTCACCATTAGCAGAATGATTTCCACCTGCAAAAAAGGTGCTATCTGTACAAATTATTAGAAGAAAGATACATATATGCTTACAATCAATACACACATACACACAATCAGTACCTCTACAGAAGGCAAGGATTAAACTGGATGTGATAGCGTCCCCACAAGCCTTCATTGCTGCTTTCATGACATCTTTCCTGTTTCAATTCAATATCATTTAGGAAATCCCTAATATCTAAAATAACTCTACATTAAATATTCTATGTTAGTGCTTTGTGTATGAAAGAGATTGACTACATTGACCCATGCTGATCGTAACCAACTCCCATTTCAACAAACAATAGTGTAATAGAAGAATTAGGAATAACGGATTGGAGCATGGCGACAGGAAGATCATTTTAAAGTCTTGAATAGTTTGTCAAAAAAACCAAATAAAATTTATCATTTAGACCTTATTTTTATTGTTTATAATAAGTTTTTAGCTATGTTAGGCTAAAATATCATAGATTTCAGTTTCACATCAACTCGACTTTTTGTGCAAGTAATCATTAGGCTTGATTTTTGGTTGTGAATTCTGTTTAGTTCGATCAGATTTTGTATTTAAATGAATGCTTAATTTTGATTCAGTTTTTGTTGGCAACTTGAATTGTTATTAGATCATTATGTTGTCTTAAAATCCGTAATTGCTGTATTAAACCGGTAATAAGTAACGAATATAATATTGGTTGTGTGCAAGGATTTAACTCTAATATAAACTGATTGAACAAGTTTTTATGCTTCTGAGCCTATGAGAAGTTTTGAACTTTACTGGGACTTTTTATGCTGCTATTAATGTTGCTTTTCTAGATTAATTAAGAGCTTGTTTGATTTATTTAGTAGAAAGTAAGGTTTAATTCAAAGAGCATTGTAATGCCCCGATTCTCAGGTATTGTTAATATGAGTTTTTGGATTAGGCCCTACTCGACGAGTTGGTTTACCTACTCATCGAGTAGCAGCGAGAAGGATCGCAGGTTAAGTGACCTACTCGACAAGTCCATATTGGGACTCGACGAGTAGGAGCTGGCAAGTGAAACCCTAATTCCCTGGGTTTGCACCCCTATTTAAAGGGACCTTAGCCTCCCTTGGACCTCCTTACAGTTCCAAAGAACCCTTGAGAGCCTTATTCGTGTGTGTGCGTTATGTGTGTGTTTGAAGCTTGAAAGAGAGTCCTTGGAGGAGAAGGAGATTGAAGCAATTGGAGTGTGGGAATCAACACTCATCCCAGATATCAACTTCAAAAGGTACCCAAACCGTCATTCTCCTTATAGATCTCCTTTTTTGGGGGAGTTTTAGGGTTTTTTTTATGGAATATCAAGTTGGTATGATGAGCTCTGGGCTAGATCTGAAGTTGTAACTTTAGATCTGGACTCCCTTTGGATTCTAGAAGCATAAAGTCGCAACTTTAGTCATGATTGAGGTCCCCTTTGTGCATAAAGACCCATCAATAGCTTAGATTCTCCATTTTGAGCCTTTAAAGCCATGCATGCACGTAAATTTTGCAACTTTACGTGATAAGCATGCCCTAGAAGCTTGGATATGTGATTTGGAGCCGCTGCATGGATCAAAATGGATCTGTATGGAAGGAGGACTGAATGGACTCGGCGAGTCGCAAGGTCGACTCGGTGAGTCGCATGAAGATGGCTATTAAACTCGATGAGTTGGTTGAACAACTCGGCGAGTCCGATGAATATTGTCATGAGACTAACGAGTCGAAGAGCAAATCGGCGAGTCAGATGAGTTTAACCAAGAATATGTTCGCAAGTATATCAGTTGAAGTCGCAGGGAGGGAACTCGATGGGTGGCCTTAAGGTCTGATCGGGATTCAAAGGAACTCGACGAGTCACCTCGATGACTCGTCGATTTGGATTGTGCCTCAAGGGACTCGGTGAGTAGCTGGTGTACTCGACGAGTTGAGGTCAACATGGACTGTTGACCTTGACTGTGGACTTTGACCTTGATCAGGGGTTGACTATTGGGTTATGGAGTACCTTATAAGGTTAAAGACTTATGCGTATATTGAACTATGGTTATAGATGGTGGGGCATGTGTTGAGTGATCCGAGAGTTCGAGTTTACCTTCCGATTCGACATCTGCGAGGTGAGTTATCCTCACTATATCGATAGGGTCTACGGCACCAAGGCCGACCCTTTAGTTGTTATTGTTATGGTATGCTACATGTGGTTATGATATGTTAGTGTAACATCCGAAAGTCAGAATCAAGAGTTCAGGGGGTAAAAGTGTAAGTTGGAAGAAAGGAACTCGACGAGTAGGAGCTTCAACTCGTCGAGTCTAAGCAGGTGCCGGACACATGTTAAGTGACCGGACTTGCCGAGTCAGAGGCTGGACTTGACGAGTCCGTGCTGAAATGAGAAACCCTAATTCCTGGGGTTTTCACCCTATATAAGGAACCTTAAGCCCCACCCCATCCTCTTTAGCACCCCCTTTGATATCCAGAAGCTTTCCCCATCATTTTCAAACCCTAATTTGAGAGTGAGAGGGATTTATGTGTTTTGTGGAGCTTGGAGAAGAAGGATAATTGAAGCAAGAGTTGGTGGGATCATAGAGGAGCAAAGTGGATCTGATTTCTTTGCTTGTTGGCATCAGATTAAAGGTAAAAAGCTGTTGCCTTGGCTGGTTGTGCTTAGTTTGTTGATGAATGAAGTTTTAGGGCCAAATTGTCATATATGAATCTCTTTTCGAGTTTTGGGTTCAGATCTATGGTTGCTACTACAGATCTAGACTGGTCTTGACTCATGAATCTGGAAAGTGATAGCTTTGGGGTTTGTTTGAGAGTTTCCTTGGCTTAAACCTTCATTTTAGCTTGTTTAGAGCTTGTTAAACCTTGCGTGCACGTGAAGTTGGAAACTTTATGTGTGAATTTGGCCCTAGGAGTCCAGATCTATGTATTGGAAGCATTGGAATGGCCTGAAATCGTCTGGATGAAGATGTTACGTCTGGACTCAGCGAGTCACATGGGTGCACTCGGTGAGTTGTATGATTATGTGCATGGACTCGACGAGTTGGAAGAACAACTCAGCGAGTCTGTTGAAGATTGCCTTGGACTCGGCGAGTCTGGTCGTAAGGTCCTAACCTTTTTGGTTGAGCGGTGAATCGGTGAGTCGAGGGACGACTCGGTTAGTTGAGCAGGAAGTGACTCAGAGTTGGTTGGACTCGGCGAGTCTTGGGGCGACTCGGCGAGTTGAGTCGTGGATTGGGTGTTTCTGACTATAGGGAGTCGACGAGTTAGCGGGTTGACTCGGCGAGTAGAGTCGATCAGGAAGGTTGACTTTGATTGAGGACTTTGACTTTGACCAAGAGTTGGCCAGTTGAGTTCCATGGGTATTTTGGTAATTATTGGTATTTATTGAGTTCAGTCTTTTGGTATTAGAAGTGGTGGAGTTCGTGTCGGAGGTTGGAGCAGCGTGATCTTATCGTTTCTGTCATCAGTGGCGAGGTGAGTTATCCTTACTATATCAACAGGGTCTACGGCACCAAGGCCGACCCTTTATCGGATTCTAATCCGGGTATTGTTGTTATGTTATTGTTTTGCTATGTTTGCATCCTGGTAGTTAGGATGGTATATGTTAGAGACTTGGTTAAGGTCGGTAATCTGGTATATAGGATGATGCTATGCTAGTGACCGGTTAGATCGGTATCCTGGTTAGGATGATGTTATGTTATGTGATCTGCTAGATCGGTTTGATCGGATGTGAATTGTTACATGATTGTATGTATATGTGCACATGGTTGTTGGACTGGGGTTAGGTTGAGGCGGGTCCTGCTTTGTGATGTAGGCCAACATACCCAGGGGGACCGGTTATCCCAAAGGCCCAGCGAGCGGTGCGGATAGGCTGTAGGCCCCAAGTGGGCGGACTAGATGTGCCGAGGCTTGGGGAGTGGACCAGGTCGACTGAAGGCCCGGTGCGGGCGGACCAGTGATACTGTAGACTCAGAGAGTGGACCAGGTGGATTGAAGGCCCGGTGCGGGCGGACCAATCACACTGTAGGTTCGATGTATATGGCTAGACTCGGAGGGTGGACCAGGTGGACTGAAGGCCTGGTACGGCGGACCAGTCACACAGTAGACCTGAAGTGCATGGTTGTTCTATGTTCTGTTATGATATGACATGTTATGTGTATGGTATATGTGGTTGGTATTTTGGGGGTATCTCAATAAGCTTTCGGGCTTACAGTTGTGGTTTAAATGTTTCAGGTACATCAGGAGACCGTGGCAAGGCAAAGACGTGATCGTACCGCTCCTCATGTTTATGTTTTATGATATGGTTCTGGGAAGACTCTGATAATAATTGTATTGAAAACCTTTTTGTAATAACTTAACGAAACTAGGTTGTTTTTGAAAAGTTTAAATTGGTTGGAATTTTTAGAGTGTTATAGTTAGATCGGTATCCAGATAGACAATATGTTGTCATGCTCTTATGATCCGTTAGGATTGATATGTTAGTGACCTAGTTAGGTCGGTGTTTTGGTTATGAGAGATTACCATGATCGATTATCTGTGAGATAGTTATATCTGATATTTGTACATGTACGGGTTGATGTGCTTTTTTATCTGATTAGATTGGCGTCCTGGTAATTAGGACAATATTATGTTAGTGACCTGGTTTAGGTCGGTGTCCTGGTATATAGGATGATGCTATGTCAGTGACCGGTTAGGTCGGTATCCTGGTTAGGATGTTGCTATGCCTTATGATCTGCTAGATCGATTTGTTTGTCTATGGATTGTTATGTGATTACCTGTTATATGGGCACATGGTTATTTGCTTGTGGTTGGGTTGAGGCGGTCCTGCTTTGTGCTGAAGGCCAATATACCCTATGAGCTGTCCGGGGAGACTGTAGGCCCACTTGGCGGACCAGTCATGCCGAAGGCTCGGGATGGATTCAGATAGACTGTAGGCTCGGCAGGGCGGTCTGGTCAAGCCGATGGCCCAGTATGCATGTTGATTGATTGATTATTACTGATGTGGTATTGTCAGTGTGGTATTGGTATTTTGGGGGTAGCTCAGTAAGCCCTCGGGCTTACAGTTTTTAGTTTACTGTTTCTGGTACTTCAGGAGATCGTGGAAAGGCGAAGGCGTGACCGTATCGCTCCTGATCCTTATGTTATGATTTTTGGGACACTCTGATGGAAAATGATTTGAAAACATTTTGTAAACAATGCTGTGTGGTTTTTATTTATGATTTAAAAAGTTTAAATTTGGTGTGAATTTATGGATGCTACAAGCATGTTGTGGGTAAACAATTTGGTAAAAGAAGATTATTAAATTTTGTTAATGATTTTTAGTCAGTTTAGACAGTGCACAATTTAAACAATAAAGTCGAA